AGGCTGCAGGGGTGCGGGGGGGAAACAGATCGCTGGACAGATGTTGGAAGGGGCTGTGGGGATGGACCCACAAAGAACCAGGCGTCTGGGCTCCTGCCCCTCTACCCCCCAGCCAGGCAGCATACCCAGGTGTCCAGGCTCCCGATACCCAGCGATGCTCTAACTACTCAGTCTCTCACCTCCACCCTTGGGGAAGGGACCCAGGTGTCCGGACTCCCATCACGCTGCTCCCAAGGGCCCGGACGCCTGGGTTCTCCCGGGGGGGGGGGGGGGGAGGGGAGGAGAATGGGGGCTGCACAGTTGGCTTCCCCCACAACTCGGAGGGACTAGGTTGGTGCCCACCCTGCTGCAACCACGTGGCTAACGAAGGAACCCCGGGAACAAGCCCGGCTGGGGGGAACTGGAGCTGCAGTTAGTGGGCAGGCCCCCCAGAGTGCCACCCCCACGAGGGAAAACTGAGGCACGGGGCGGATGATGTCATAGCAGCCCCTCCTCCCCCCAGGGTCACAGCTGGGCCCCAGCCAGGCAGGGGACCCAGGCGTCCGGGCTCCTGGCCCCTCATTGCTCTGACCACTAGGCTCCTCACCCCCACCCCCGGCGGGACCCAGGCGTCGGGGATCCTGTCACGGGACCCCCAACCCTTACCCGGCCGCGCTGAGTCCACACGGGCCTTTAAAGGGCCAGGCCGGCCCCGCCCCGCCCCCTCCCGCGCGGGGCATGCCGGGAACTAGAGTCCTGCCGTCCTCTCCACGGGACTACAACTCCCGGCGTGCCCCGCGCCGCAGTCCCATAACGTCACTTAACGGGGCGGTGCTTGCATAATAAGCCAGCCAAGAAGGGGCGGGCGCGGCTGCCCCCGTCCCCCCAGCCCGGACACCTGGGTTCTTTGCTGGGGGGAGGGGCATGTGTGTGCCCGTTCGTTTCCCCGACCCCTTGTCTGTCCACACACTCCTGTTCCTCTCATGACATCACTGTGACCTCATTGTAATGTCACACCCACCATCTCCCCTTTCCACCTGCCCCCAACCTCCTACGGCCTGGCCCCTCCCAGATACCTGGGGCCCCTGCCAGCACCCCTCTGGCCCCACCCGCTCTGCCTCAGTTTCCTAGGAGAAAACAGCTCTGGACTCCTGTGTTCCCACCAGTGTTTATTGGCTGGCCAGCGGGACAGGCTCAGGCCCAGCGCCCGCCACCCACTCAAGGCCTGGCCTGGCGCTTGTGCAGCTCCTCCCGCACCCGCTGGCACAAAGCCTGGCGCAGGACAGGTTCCAGCGGGCTGTGGGCGCACACCTGCTGCGCCACCTCCTCAGGGCTGTCATCCTGCGGGGAGACAGGGTGAGAGGTTGCGGCCCCCATGAGCTGGGGCCTGCGGGGCAGAGAGCATCTCATGCTGAAGCCCCGGGGGGGTGGCTATAGGCAGTGCCTAGGCAGGTACGGGGGGGCACATGCAACCCCACTCGCAACCTCCCCCCTGCTACCGACACTGTCGCAGCCGACGGGGCCCGCCCGCCGCCGCTGCTACCGCTTACCAAAAA